AATAATACTTTCAGTTCAGATTGTGGAGACCTTCTATTCAGATTTCAATTTTGGTTGGTTAGGAAAAACTGATCTGTATAATCTTATTAATTGTTGAATTTTAGTTGATGTATCTTATCGTTCAACCTCCCCAAAACTGCTGGAAGATAGATATACACTGTTCAAAACACTAAAGGGAACACTTAAACAACACAATGTAACTCCAAGTCAATCACACCCCTGTGAAATCAAACTGTCCACTTAGGTAGCAACACTGATTGACAATCAATTTCACATGCTGTTGTGCAAATGGAATAGACAACAGGTGGAAAGCAGAGGCGATTAGCAAGACATCCCCAGTAAAGGAGTGGTTCTGCAGTGGTAACCACAGACCACTTCTCAGTTCCTATGCTTTCTGGCTGATAGTTTGGTCACTTTTGAATGCTGGCGGTGCTTTCACTCTAGTGGTAGCATGAGACGGAGTCTACAACCCACACAAGTGGCTCAGGTAGTGCAGCTCATCCAAGATGGCACATCAATGCAAGCTGTGGCAAGAAGGTTTGCTGTGTCTGTCAGCGTAGTGTCCAGAGCATGGAGGCGCTACCAGGAGACAGGCCAGTATATCAGGAGACGTGGAGGAGGCCGTAGGAGGGCAACAACCCAGCATCAGGACCGTTACCTCCACCTTTGTGCAAGGAGGGACAGGAGGAGCACTGCCAGAACACTGCAAAATGACCTCCAGTGGGCCCCAAATGTGCATGTGGCTGCTCAAATGGTCAGAAACAGACTCCATGAGGGTAGTATGAGGGCCCGATGTCCACAGGTATGGGTTGTGCGTACAGCCCAACACCGTGCAGGACATTTGGCATTTGCCAGAGAACACCAAGATTGGCAAATTTGCCACTGGCGCCCTGTGATCTTCACAGATGAAAGGTTTACACTGAGCACATGTGACAGACGTGACAGGGTCTGGAGACGCCATGGAGAATGTTCTGCTGCCTGCAACATCCTCCAACATGACCGGCATGGCAGGGAGTCAGTAATGGTGTGGGGTGGCATTTCTTTAGGGGGCCGTACAGTCCTCCATGTGCTCGCCTGACTGCCATTAGGTACCAAGATGAGAGCCTCAGACCCCTTGTGAGACCATATGCTGGTGCGGTTGGCCCTGGGTTCCTTCTAATACACGACAATGCTAGACCTCATGTGGCTGGAGTGTGTCAGCAGTTCCTGCAAGACGAAGGCATTGATGTTATGGACTGGCCTGCCCGTTTTCCAGACCTGAATCCAATTGAGCACATCTGGGACATCATGTCTCGCTCCATCCAACAATGCCATGTTGCACCACAGAGGGATGCTTTAGTCCAGGTGTGGGAGGAGATCCCTCAGGAGACCATCCGCCACTTCATCAGGAGCATGCCCAGGCATTGTAGAGAGGTCAGACAGGCACGTGGAGGCCACACACACTACTGAGCCTCATTTTGACTTGTTTTAAGGACATTACATCAAAGTTGGATCAGCCTGTAGTGTTTTTTTCCATTTTAATTTTGAGTGTAACTCCAAATCCAGACCTCCATGGGTTGCTACATTTGATTTCCATTGATAATTTTTGTGTGATTTTGTTGTCAGCACATTCAACTATGTAATGAACAAAGTATTTAATAAGAATATGTCATTCATTCAGATCTTGGATGTCTTATTCTTGTGTTCCCAATATTTTTTGAGTAGTGTATTTAATTCTTTTAACCCAAGACTTATAGCTCCAGAGTGCACTGCTGCCATCCATTTCTGCATGAGTTACTAATTTGGGAAGCAGGTTTCCAGATCGGAAACAATGAGTCTGAAACAGTGACTCACACAGAGATATAGCAGGTATTATTTTCTGTTAGAAATCAATTCCATTTCATTTCTTTGTTGGGCATGAGTGAATGACGCAGAAAAAGAATTTAACAATTCTTGGCCCTAGTATAAGTGGATTAGAGAAAATTAAGATTTACCATTCTTCTCTTGGCAAATGCCATGGATAAAACTTCGGGGAACTTAGGAATTGCAGCAGACAGAATAAAACAAACTGAATTTCAGATTTGCAGCCAGGACTGGAATTTATTATTTTATGAAATGTGTATGTCATGGTTTGAGGTGGGATCTATTTTCTAATGTCTCATCAGGGCTGGATCTAGCCAGTTTTACTTGTGCTTGGCAGGGAAGCAGAATCAGGTATTATTAGGTTTTAGAATAGACACCACCAATGAATGGGAAGTAAAACCAAACATTATGTGTGAGGGCAGCACAAGCCACTTCCACATAGTGTCAGGAAAATAACCTGACTTTATTAAGCTTTATTACTTAATTTTTCTTTAGAAAAAGAAACCGCATGATTTGGCATCTGGACTATTAGTCAGACTTAATAAATACCGTGATGTACCTGATTGTGAGCTTTGAGTTGCTCCTCAATACACGGAGTTTTTTTAAAAAAAGTTCTTTAATTTTTACTCTGGATATTGTCCCATCAATCAATCACCTATTCCAATCCTGCTTAATTTTTTGAGATCAGTTAAAATCAGAAATCAATAAAAATAGAAATTTTGTTGACAGATGTATGTCCTCTAGCTATATCTGCTATGTTCTGATAGTAAATTACTGGATTGTATTTTTTTGAACCTCTGGGTAGTGAACAATTTTCAAGAGTGTCCCATTTTAAGGCAACATTCTGATGTATCTATTAATTTATACAAATGTATTCCTCTCCATGTCTAATCTAAACCAAGATGTAATAAAGGAATCTAGTATATCCCCAGTGTTTACACATTTAGCCTCAAATAAATTCCATAAAATTTATTGAGATTTTATTTCTAAATAAAGATTGTATAGAATTTTACTTCTTCGTGAAACATAAAGAATTACATCAAAACCATATTCTAAGCTTAATGAGTCTATTTTTCCTAGTGATGCTGTCTAGATATAGAGCCTTCCATTATCAGAATTTTGGAAGTTAACACATCTAGAGACACCAGATTGGCAAAGTCTGCCATAATCTTTGGATGTGGCAACTCTATGACTGTTTTTCCATTTATCACATAACATAGTGGTTCTCAAAGGACGGTCTGGGCCCAAAACCTTTCAAAGAGTCTGTAAGATTTAAATTTGCTGTTTTATTTCTAATACAGTAAACATTGATGGACATAACTCACATAAACATAAGCTCTTTGGGCTTCTCAATTATTTATAAGAATATAAAGGAGTTCTGAGGTCAAACTGTTTAAGGACCATTGGAGTAACAAAACATTTTTAAAATTATTTATGGAATTACCAATCATAAAATGATGGAAACCTTTTAACAACGAATGATTGGGAAAACCATACTGAATTCACAACGTGAAATCAAGAGCTGAATCTTGAATTCCAATTCTGTGTTTCAGGTCAGTCCTGCATCAGATGGGAGGTGGGGGGGGGGGGTTTAAGACAGCTCTCTCCTCCTCCTTTGCAAATGTGATTGGCCCTTTGCTGTTTCTTTCCATCTGCCTTGATACTTCTAAGCTGCAATGATTTGTTTATTTATTTATTTATTTGATTTGTCAATTGCTTACAAAATAACAGGTATAAGTATAAACATAGTTTTGAATACATGAGATGGATACATATAAGAAAAATAAAAAGAAACAATAGGACAAGGATGATAGGCAGGATTGGTGCATTTATGCACGTCAATAATAATAATAATAATAATAATAATAATAATAATAATAATAATAATAATAATAATAGGTATTCCCTAAAGGGGGCAACTTCCCCAAAGCCCTGGTGCAGCTTCCAAAGACCACCAAGCTTAACATGAAATTTTAAAGTCTGCAAGTTATCTTGCCACAGTGTTCTGGTGGGGCAATTTGGATAAATGAAGCACTGCACCCCTCTCCCCCATATGAAAAGCAAGATAGAAATCAAGTATGCATAACAGAGAAAAGATTTTAAAACAAGTCGGGAGAGTGATCATATTAACAGTGTTTAATTTTAATTGCCTATACATTAAATCAAATACATTTTTCCTAGGCCCATCACTTTTTGTGAGTGTGTGGGAGAGCATGGTTCCAGCACACCAGAAAGAAAAAAATCAAAAGTTGTCTTTGCCTGAAAAACAAAATTGTGCTACATGAAGGATTTCAAAAGCAGTGAATTGATTTGAATACAATAGGATTTATTTCTAAACAGCTATGGATTGGAACCCTCTTTTCAGGATGCTCCCCATAACTCATCAGTCTTTATCTAACAATAAACTAGCCCTGTGGTTATTCCCCATGTTGCAGGAGACAAAAGCTTGTTGGGAACCACACAAGGAGCCCCCGATGGAGAACCGAATAAGGGAATTTCAGAATTGCAACTCCGTTTCTTATTGCGAGCATCAACTTTTTGGCCCTGGCTGGCATCCTCCTATGCAGAAATGCTTCACTATTTTCTCAGGAACAACACCATCACCTTTTAAGATGCACACCCAGACCGGGAGTAAAAGTGATGCCCCCGAGTAATAATACAGGGTTATCTTAGCCCGCGACGACCTGGACGGAATACCAGACGAATCTTCAGCAGTTTCTCGGATAACAATACGTACGTCGGTGTGGGGAAAATCTCCATTTGCTTTCAATGGAAATTGCAGATTGCCCTATGCAGGGTTACAATCTAAGTGGGACTGGGTCTTAACTAAGTGCCGGGGTCATTGAAATGCGTGAGTGCTGTGCCCAACAAGGAGGACCGAAAGTTTCCCTTGCCCAGTTCCATTAAAGGCAGAGCCTTCAAAGGGTTACTTCTGTAACGACCGAAGGGAGATCACTCCCCGTTCTTTTCCTCGTTCCGAACCCCCCCCCCAACAACTCCTCCACGACCCTCGAAGCAGCATCTATTGGCTGGGAAAAGGGAAATGGGCGTGGCTTGGCCCACCTCCGTCTCCTTGCTCATTCTCTCTGTCTCGCTTCCCCCCTGCTCCTCCCCAACTCGGTTCCAGTGTAAAGTTTCACCGAAGCACATGACTGGCTTTAATGGCTGCTGAGCACTGGGGCGCGCGCGCTGGCCAGCGCAACGTTGCGTTCCCTCCTCCCTTCCTCCCCTCCGTCCCGCTCGGATCGGGCAGCCGTTCGGTGTGACTTTGCAGAGCTGGGACCCCAGAGCTTGTGCTTCTGTCTTCGTGAAAACAAGATTGCTTTTGGGAAGGAGGGGGGGTGGGGTTGGCGAGAGTTTTGTGCATGCCCTAGTAACTAAGAGAGGGAGAAGGACCTGCTTTCCAGGTAAGAGTTTTGGATACCTGCGGCTCTTCCTTTCGCAGACTTTGTTCTGGATATGTGTTTGGAAGGCAATGGGGAGAAAGGAAGACCTGTCTTTTTTTTTCTTCGTTCCTTACACGCTAATTTAACGGCTGGAGGGGAAAAGTCTATGTCGTTTTTGTCTTGTTTTGTTCCTTCCAGATTCCGATCGAGGTCTAGGATTACATAGCAGCCCCCCATCCCTTTTCCTCCTCCTTCCCCGCTCTCTGTTTGTGCCCCATGCAGTACCTGTTTGAAGTTGAATAGGGTTGCTTTTCCTTATCTCCTTTCCCCTCAGTGTCCTCATCTCCCCAATTTCGTTAATAGTCTTTCACGTTTACACTGAAATCGGAGGACGTTGTAGATTTCTGAAAGATAGTTCTGGGGGATTTTGCAATTGCTGATAGTTTCCTGAAGTTGTAATTACTCTTCAGGCTTATTTTGGTGAATATAGCTGTTCAGACTAATATCGGAGGTTCCAGTTTGGGTGACAGTGAAGGTTGCATTATTTTATTTCTGTTCCAGTTTTCCACTCCCTACTTTTTGTGCAGTTTCCTAATAAACCTTAACTGTTGCTTTCAGTCATCTTATTCAGCTGTCATGGGGCTGCCCTCACCTCCTCCTGCTGCCTTGTGTTTGAAATCGGGCCAACTGTAGATGGGGATTTTGCCCTGTAGCATCGGATATTCTTGTCATCAGGCACGCCATCCTTCCTTTGGCCCGTTGGCCTCTTCACTGTTCTTGGAGAAAATGTTTGGTGTGTGAGTATGGTGGAATTCTTTCAGTAGGGAGATATCCCAAGATTTGAGCTGCTGGCTTGTCCTGATCTCTCTGCTAATTAAGTGGCAACTTTATAGTGGCAGCCACATTTGAGGGTAAATTTGAACTCAGTGGGAGTGAATCTGGAGTAGGCGTAGGCATGCAAATGTTTTGACAATATTTTTCAGAGTCCTATCTCCACAGAGTGAAGGAAAGCACTCAGAGGAGAGGGAGATTCCCTGTTTCTTTTCTTTGAGAGATTCCCAAAGTTTCTTTCCTTTCAGATCTTGAAAGAAATTGCTGATCTGTTTTCCAGTGCCACGTGTGGGTGTGGCTGGCAATTCTGCTGCTTCTAAATGAAGTTTTGTACTTCATATTATTGGCAAGGGAATTCCGGATCCTTCCTCTCCCCATTATACTTACTGTGCAAAGATTCTGCTTATGTGATTCCTTCTCCTTCACATTTAAAATTCAGAATGCTGTAGAAATACCTCTGGTTGTGCCACTTCTCTGTTACAAAGTTTTTGGCCTTTGTAGGAAACCTTGGAATTAAAATAAAAGACAGAGCCAGTGATGTCTGTCTTGCCAAACTACCAGTGGTTGGTCGATCCGTGGGTGGAAAAACAAGACCATGGCTTAGCTTTCAAGGGGATGTTTCCAACTTGGTCTGTGTTTTTGCAGTGTCTGAGCAGGCTTGTGGGTGTGAAATTGGAGCCGTGGCTCTCACATATTTTTTCATGCCCAGGTTTCAGAATTGGGATATCCAGTCCTGTGGGATTTTGGACTAAGCAACAGTTTGGATACTTTTTTTTTTTTTTTTGCATGTCTAGCACTAAGATGTGATATTATGCCTGACCAAGTCCCACAGGTGGCTTGCATGGCAGCTGTGAAATGGGTTTAACACTTAGCGAAAAAATAGGTTGGAAGCTAAATCCCACTTAAGATGGTCAGCAGCTGTGTGGAAGCAAGGATGGTTACCAGCCTCAGCCTGTATTAGAAAAAAAAAAAGAACTCTAAATTGTGGTTGGGTGCTTTTCTGTCAGTCATAAAAGGTAAATCTGTAAAGAGGGAAGCAGTCATCCATGTAGAGAAATTAACAGCTGGTTTGACTTCCAACATCAGGCAGGAAGGGAAAGAGCACGTCTGGGTTATGTATGCATCTGTGTTTGGATCTGTGTTCAATTCTCTTTACAACTTTGTTCACTTTGAATGCTTGAGGTCCTTAGCTGAAAAGAACTTGAATGGTATGAAGATGGAGTTTTTTACATTTATGATCATGGCTTTCTTTATTATAGAATATTAATAACAGCGATGGGAATCCTTACAGTTTATGTAGTATGTTCACAAACTACTTCAAGTTTTTATGTCTTAGTAGTCTTAGCATATTGCAAATAAGGGTGAGAAAGAGAATATTTCTGCTTATATACAGGGTTTGTGGCTAAGGAGAGAGTTGGACCAGAGAGCTTGATGTTCTTAATTTATAGAAGTTTTGTTTTGTTTTAAAGCATTCCAGGTTTTCTTTTGGCAATTTGAAAGCACCAGAATACTTTTAAGGTGTAAGCGATATGCAAATGGTGAATAAGTAGCATGTTTCTAAATTACACACATTTCTTATAATTTTTAAAAATCCAGTTTTATCAATTATGTATTTTTCCTTTTAAAATCCATTAAATTTCACACATTTTAAACTTAAATTTATAATGTATAGACCCTTCAAAATAATTACCTGGTGTAATAGTTAATTTTTTAGCTAACAACCAACGTCTCTGACAATCTTGGATATGCAAGACTTCAAATCCTATTTGGGAAGCTAGGATTGTAAAAGAAATCTGTTCCTCACGTGGCCTTGCAGGATCAGTTGTATTAAATACTTTCTATGTGGTCAATTCAAACTACCAGTATCATGGACATGGTAGAAATCATAAACTTATAAAAATGCTTTTGTGCAGTCAGATCAAATCTGATCTCCACCAACCGTGATTTGTCACAAATTGAAGAGGACAGGAAACCCACAAGGAAAGTTAGGTGGAAACAAAGTTTTCTTATTCCCGTAAAGAGTCATTAGGGACAAAGGGTACATCTACATCTGGATATTTCCCTTTCAATTATTGTGGGAGAAGGGAAACACAATGATATAATCCTGGTTCTAATTTCAAATCCATAACACGGCTTTGTCCATTTCAAAACATAGCCAGGTTGGAAACAACCTCTTGAAATATAATGGGGCTGGGTTTCATATAGTCCTAATCCAAAATGTGTTTTGTTTTGTTGGCTTATTGTCAGGCCCACACCCTCCCACCCCAAACTCTATGGTTTATATACCATAGTGAATCGGTATATTATAGTAAATTTTAAAAAAACCAATGAGCCACATTATGCATTAACTATATATGGGACCACTGGCTGAATACAAATATTGTGAAAAGCATGTGTTTGGTTTTGGTTTGGTGTAATGTGTGAACCAAACCATTTTTGGCTTGTAACCATTATTTATGGCTTAATGTTATATAGGAACCAGCTCTGTATGGTTTGTTCAAATATAGTGGTTAGAAAAAATGTTGATGCAATAAATTCAGCATGTGTCTTCCATAAATTTATTTAATCCCATTTTTAAAAGCCATTTAAGCTTTTCGTTATTGTATCTTATGGCAGTGACTTTGTTATTTACACAGTGCATGCTGAAGTTATTCCTATTGTTTTGTTTTGATCTACACAGAATATGGTATATCTCATGGTATATCCTTCCAAAACTCTTAGATCCCCAATGTATGTTCCAGAATTGGCTGCAAAACCATAGTTGAAGTCCAAACCTCTTGAAGTTATTGTGGTTGACAAACATTGTCCTAGGTCGAGGAGATAGGATATTCGTACAAGGAATTACAGAACCCTATATCCCAATGGTTTTCCAAGTCTCTGCTGGACAATTGTATTTATTCACAGTTTTCCAAACTTCTAACTTTCTGCCTGAGTTAGGAGATACTGAGAGCAAAACCAGGGGACTTTCTATAATAGAAAAATCCTCTACCTATAAACACAAGTGGAACTGGAAATTCTGTTGCTAAGTGTGGCAGTTGAATTATCACATGACCATGCCTGATTTTATAATATATTTGCTGTAATTGTGAAACAAATCTAACTTGGCCTATTGATTTTGCTTATCAAAAGTCCTCTAGGAAGGTCAAAAATGGTGATCATATGACCTCAAGATGCTACAACTATCATACCCAAATCATGTGACGATGGGGATGTTGCAGTGGTCCTAATTGCAAGGACTGGTTGTAAGTCACTTTTTTAGCAGCGTCGTAATTTCAAACAGTAGTTAAATGAATGGTGGTGATTTGAGGACTACCTATGTGACTTCTAATATACCGAGTTTAATTTTATTATTTTAAAAATCTTAAGTTACACATTAGTCTACAGAAGTTATTAACCCAGAAATATATTTGTTAGTCTGCTTTTATGCGCACTTATTTAGCTTAGTCAGTCATTTCACTTTACAGTCATGGATAAAATAATAAGGGAGTTACTTTTTGGTTTGTGGCAGACCCTGATGCTGTGAGCTGAAAGAAAGTGACTGGCCAAAGGTTATTTTGCTGGTTTATCTGCTTCTAGCCTCCCAGCTTAATTACTACAGATAGTCCTTGGTGTATGATCAGAATTCCATTGTTAAACGATGAAATCATAAAGTGTGATGTCACATAACTATGATTTAGCAACAAGGATCCTATTGCCATTGTTAATCAAATTCCACTAGTCCTTAGCTGAGGACTCACCCCAAGCCAAGCCATTCAGTGCTTAACCCCTCCCAGCCCCGAGACTGAATAAATTAAGGGTTTGCCTCCTCTTCAGCTCCCCCCACCTGCCCAGTTCCCCCTAATCACTGCCCTTTTGGCTCCCCTGCACTCTGCCTTGTGGGATGGTAAGCAGCCCCAGAACCACATGGCTCTGAGGCTGTTTGCCTCACTGGCTTGGCATTTCATGGCACGGCTCTGGGGATGCATGAGGTCCCTGGGTGCAGTGCAGTGCAGTGCAAAGCATTAGATGCCCCAGCAAGCTCTAGCTATCATAGCCCAGTCACCCTCACTGCCGTGCCATCCTGCACTCTGTCACCATCACCCACTACTCATGAGACATGCCCACCCCCAGCCATTTGTGAGACATTTGCTGGCTACATGGTGCCATCTTCCCCAGGCTGGGAGGATACTGCCCTGCACAAACTGGAGAAC